TATTGCTAATTTATCAGCTGCCTTTGCCTTTGCTGGTACTAACTCCTAGTTTGAGGAATCATAATTTTAAAGAAATGGTTATGAAGAAGAGGGGCGGTTTATTTGGTTTTTATTGCTAGTGAATCTTCAGGTTTTTTTATTATCAACTTGGTTTGTGGCATTAAATTTGGTAAAATAGGTCCAAGCTCCTAAAATGCTTGGTAATGGAATTAAGTTGTTAACTTTTTTTTTTGGGTACATATGTTCTTAACCATTTGGGAAAGCATTAATTCTTCATTTAATTGTATTCTAGATGGGCCAGGGAGGAAAAAGCCTTATGTATTAGTGTTTTCATTATGTATTTGAAACATTCTGCTTAATATTAAAATTTCTGTTTTTATTTTTTTTTCCTATATAGGAGGAATGGCTGAACAGATTAAAGCATCCAAGCAGGTTCCTTCCTTTGAGTATGAGCTTTTTGAAGGAGATCCTGACCACCTTAGGACTGTTGTGGCTACACCTACTCAGACTAAACCATGGATTAATCCTGCCTCGTTGAAACTTAAGCACAGGATAGGGCGAGGCCCTTTTGGTGATGTTTGGCTGGCTACTCATCATCAGTCAGCTGATGATTTTGATGAGTACCATGAAGTTGCTGTTAAGATGTTGCATCCATTGAAGGAGGAGCATATGCAAAAGTTTGTTGATAAGTTTGAGGAGTTATTCTTGAAGTGCCGAGAGCTCCAAGGTGTTTGCTGGTTGCATGGTGTCTCTATTGTAAATGGAAAGGTGACTCTTTCAGCATTAATTTTTCAATGTCCTTTTCATTCTAGTATACTTTGGTGCCCTCATGATTCAAATCACAAAGTGATGCTAGACTTAAATTGTCCTAAAGGTTTGTAACTAAATAACATGGTTGGGTCCAGTCTTTCACACAGCTCATAAAATGAGTTTGGTTTTGAAATAATTTTGTAGATCTGCATTGCAATGAAATTTTACGAAGGATCTGTTGGTGATCAAATGGCTCGGTCAAAAGGGGGCAAGCTTTCATTGCCTGATGTTTTAAGGTGATATGTTGTTATATATTTCTTCTTTGTGAAGCACATTGTGCTTTTAGTTGACCCGTGAAATCCTTAGAGTGGCTAATATTTACAGGTATGGGATCCAATTAGCAAGAGGTCTTCTTGAGTTGCACTCAATAGGGTTGTTGGTGCTCAACCTGAAGCCTTCCAACTTTCTTCTAAACGAACAGAATCAACTATTTCTGGGGGATTTTGGGATCCCATATCTACTTCTTGGGATTCCATTGTCTGACTCTGATATGGCTCTTAGGCTTGGAACTCCTAATTACATGGCTCCAGAACAGTGGGAACCAGATGTGAGAGGTCCTTTGTCCTTGGAGACTGACATTTGGGGATTTGGGTGTAGCATGGTGGAGATGTTGACTGGTGTTCAGCCATGGTTTGGGAAATCAATTGAAGAAATATATCATTCGGTTGTGATTAAGAAAGAAAAACCACACATCCCAAGTGGCCTGCCTCCAGCAGTTGAGAATGTTATCAATGGTTGCTTTGAGTATGATCTCAGAAATAGACCATTAGTTTTAGATATTTTACTCGCATTTGAAAGGTATTTGCTTTTGCCTTTCTTTCAACGCTCGGTATTTTATTGAAGAAACAAGTTTATAGCCAGTAGTCGATTATATTTTCATGATAATAAGATGTTTAACGAATATGTTTACTCTCTTCCTCAACTTTGGACACTAGGCGATGTGAACTTTATAGAATTATAGAAATAGACGAGAAAACACCATTATTCTTTCATTTCATTAGATACAGGTCACAATCTCTCTAAGGGGTTGATGTTGAATAATTGTATGTTCTTTGTGAAGTTCTTGCTAGTTTTATCATTTAGAACTTTAGTCCCGTGAGCCATCATAGCTGTGGCAAATGATTGGCAAAATATCTCCCCACATCCCAATCTCACTTACATCTCTGATTTTCAATTTCCCTGTCTCTCTGCTTGCTTCAATATTTGAGGCTTTTGATTCATGAATGCAAGAAATAGTTGCTTCAACATTGTGTCAAGTTTTCTGCGTTTTAAGAAGAAAAACTTTGTAGGTATTGCCATATTTTTGCCTTTGCCAGTACTGAGTTGGTGAGTGTCCCAATTTGAAAGGGATTGATATGCTCTGTTTGTTTTGAAGATGTAGCTGCTAGTGTAATGCATGAATTTTTCCTGAACTTCTCAGCTAATGTTGTATGTGATGTACTAGGTTGAGCTGAACTGCATGTATTTCTTGTTGAAATTGTGATCAGCATAAATTTTTGTGATAGTCAATTGAAAACAGTTCTAATCACTGTTAAAAGTGGTTATATGATTATAGCTGCTGAATGGTTTCCATGTGTTCATTGTATATACATTAGTACCAAAGTATTAATCTTGCTATTGTGTTGTTTGCTAGAGTTGATGAAAATATTATTATAGCAATTGGAAATAAGATATTTTGGTAAAACCTGCTCTGAAAATGCTTAAGAGCTTGGAGCATTCCACTGCAGTGTCTATGCTCTGATTTAAGGACAAATCTAAGTCAAATAAGAAACAGGATCTAATAATTTTTTAGTCTCTTTCCTTTTTACTCCTTTTCCTCTGGGTTGCACTCTGATAATTTGCAACTGAACTTGCAGCTCACGAACTGCTGTTAACAGTGATGGAGGATGGATTGGCCTTGGAAGCCGACCAATCAAAGAAAAATCTATTGTCTCTGGTTACACCACATGGTATCTCTCCAAGGATCGTCTTCAAGTCGGTGACATGGTTCACTCAAGAAGCCCTCTAAATGTTCGCAAACCTCAAACCATGGATATTCGTGAAGGAACTGTTGTTGGTTTAGATAATGATGCTGATAAGAATGGCTTTGTTCTGGTGAAAGTTCCTGGAATGCACAACCCTCTGAGAGTACAGGAGTCTACACTTGAGAGGGTCACAAATGGTTTAGCAGTGGGGGACTGGGTGCGCTTGAAAGAGGAAAACAACAGCCACTCCCCTGTGGGAATACTACATTTAGTGCAGCGTGATGGAACTGTGGCAGTTGGATTTATAGGATTAGAGACCCTTTGGATAGGGAAGTCTTCCCAGCTTCAAATGGCTAAAGCTTATTATTTGGGGCAATTTGTGAGGCTTAAGGCAAATGTGTTTACTCCTCAGTTTGAATGGCCACGGAAAAGGGGAGGAGCATGGGCCACTGGGAGAATTTCAGAAGTTCTTCCAAATGGGTGTCTTGTTGTAGAGTTTCCAGGTAGATTTGTTCTTGGAAATGAACCCAACAGATTTTTAGCAGATCCTGCTGAAGTAGAATCAGTGTCTTTTGATACTTGTCCTGGTGTGGTGGAGAAATATCAACACATTGAGGATTTTCATTGGGCTGTCAGGCCGCTAGCAATTGCCTTTGGCCTATTTACAGCCATAAAGCTCACTATGTCTGTTGGATGCAGTGTAAGTGCGAGAGTGAAGAAATGCCGGCGAAATGGTCATGATGGCCATGCTGGCAGTAAATCAGGTTGGAGGCACAGAATCTTCAGAGATGGAGTTACTACTGCTGGTTCCACAAGGTAATTCTACTATTATTAGATGAGTTTGCTGGAACCTACAGCCAAGGAGATAAGGTTAATCAGGAAACAACTTCTCTGACCCTTGTAAGGTGATAGTTTCAGCTCACATACTGTCAGTAACTACTGTTGATGACGCAAAGCATAAATAAAGCTGTCAATAACTTGTAGTCAAAGGTGTAAATATATGTACAGAGTATGTTCAGAATTGGGTTAACATTTGTTCCTTTCTATATATGAGCATTGTCCATGCCCATTCTGGTTTGACATTTTCTGGTTCATTTATTCTTTACCTGCTGGATTTGTGCTTCGGCTGGTCCCAGGAATAGCTCAGTTTTTTGAAAACTATCGAACACCTGTTGCTTAGTATTCCAGGTGGGACCAAAAGCAACGTGTGAAACAATTGTCTGATTATGGATTTAAAATTGCTAATCGAACCTACATGCTGGGATGGTTCACTGCAACAATTATTGCCCTGATGAGAGATCTAACCTATATTCATACAGGGTTTCATCCACAAAATGGATCTATTTCATAACACAAGAAAACCAGTTCCCTGTCGTCCTGTCTTAGGTGCTTGTTGAGTGATCTTTGTAGGGTAAAGCGTTTAAGCTCTAAGGGTTGAGAATATGCACAGGGTTTACATTTTACTGCTGAAGTTCTTGTTGGCTGTTGCTTGAAGTATATAACTTGCTTAAAGTGTAGCAACTTGCAGAAAGTAGTGTTGTCGTCAATTTTTTGACCAAAGAAAGAAAACCCATCACCCATTTCATAAGAATTAAGTTTCAGAAAAAGATTAACAAAAAAGGTTATGAACATATTTTATATGGCTTGATACAGCTAAGGACATAATATTGTAACTCGTCAGCCATTGGAGCTGTCAGCAACAAATACAAAGTGACAAACTTACAATTTTATATTGCTTTTCCTGGTATCATAAAAGAATAGAAAGAGGGCATCTTGTGGGTTGGATATTTTGCTAGACTTGAATGATCAGGTTGGATTCCTTTCATTCGTCCACAAAGAGAAAACTAAAGTGATGGGTGGAAAACTCCAAGCGTGAAATATGGACTTTTGTTGTAACTCTATGGTTCACTTATAGTTGGCCCGGCCATGTTTGCAAAGCTGTGATTGAGTGCTCTGTTATAAAGGAAAATACTGAACCGTAATTTGCAGATTAGAGTCCAAAATTGTTGAATACAATAGATGTAGAGGACACATTGGAGTTGGTCTTATTGTCTTGTCTAACTAGAAACCGCAGTCCATTCCTAATGGACATGTATTACAATAAAAGCTCCCATAGTAATTCATGGCATTGATGATTGTCGAAAGTAGATTTTCAAAGAGGTCAGACCCTAGTCACAGATGTCTTCCCCTTGGGAGCTTCGCTTTCCAGATCAGTTACTTCATTAATATCTCCAATATCGTCCTGTATCAGACAGGGAGGCTATATATAGAGATAGATTATATTTTGTAATATCTGCACTTTCCCAGAGCTGAGGGAGATCAAGTGAGCATCAGGAATCAGGGTAAGTTGTTTCTCCCTTTACGGTGTGCTATGATTATCTGCTATTAATCTCCCTTCGGACTCATTTGGCCTTCCGCTATATTTAGCAGCAAACAGACAAGAAGGGACAAGCTCCAATGGCACATTCATTACCATCAAGTCGTTTTTCAGTTTTTCTTTTTTGTATTCTTCTACTGTTGCTGATCAGCTCCTCTACTGTGAGTGGGGCTCGACTAGGGAATGCCAGGCTAACAGATTCTTCTAGTATTAGAAGGATCCTTTTAAACAATGGCCTTGGTCTAACTCCACAAATGGGGTATGAATACGATCCCTCTGATCTTTTTTCTTTTCATCCACCTATTTTGTTTGGAAAAAACCATTGCAACGAATCAAAATACAGTACAGGCCTTGAGTACATAGTTTGCTAGCTTTTGTTTGGCCAATCTCTTATGTATTTTCTTCAGTCAACCTTTTCCTTTAAGCTTCTTTGTCTAATGACCAGTTGGAATAGTTGGAACCATTTCCATTGCAATATCAATGAGACATTGATCAAGGAAACTGGTAATTCTACAAAAGAAACAAAAATCATGAATTTGTTGATCATTATGGCTAAAAAACTTGATCAATATGTGTACTTTATGTCACAGCGGATGCAATGGTGTCAAGTGGTCTTGCTGCTCTAGGATACACCTATATCAATTTAGGTAACAGTAGTTATTGATTAATTTCGTCGCTTACTATCTGTCTTTTGCATTATTATATCATTTCTCATGTAGTTATACGATTTCTGTTGTTTTAGATGACTGTTGGGGTGAACTCAACAGAGATGCTCAGGTAATAATTTCCTTTCTTTTATTGTATATTTGAACTACTTATGATATCATGATGAGAATTGCCACTAATTTATTATGTTTGTGTACTTCTTTCTCGTCATTACACTCATTATTCCATGGTATCTCTAAAATTTACAAGGTTTCATAGGGAACAAGCAAAAGTATTCCACATCTGGATCTTCATAATGTCATATGCATACTCTTGAAGTTTGGAGAGCATGCACCCTAACATCCACACAAGATGCATTTCAATTACTTTGTTCAATATAAATACTTCAGTGGGCATCCTTATGTTTACCTTTACATTCATGAGTTCCAAGGGAAAGAAAGTGAGTGCTATAACGAAAAAGTGTTACTTGATAATGAAGTGAAAATCCATATTGTTCTGGCAGGGGAATTTGGTTCCTAAAGCATCAACATTTCCTTCAGGCATTAAGGCTCTGGCAGATTATGTACATAGCAAAGGGCTTATGTTTGGAATTTATGCAGATGCAGGGTATTGAATTGATTCTTTGTGGCTCAAAACAATTGACTTTCAAACAAAATGGTATTTTATGAAACCTTATCTCTCTTGATGACCAATATTTTGGGTACATTGTTCATTTTTTAAGGACTCAAACTTGTAGCAAGACCATGCCCGGGTCCCTAGGATATGAAGAACAAGATGCAAAAACGTTTGCTTCATGGGTATGCTTCCCTTATGGTTTTTTTTTTGTATATTCATCCTTTAACTGCCATTTGTTTTCATATCATCTAAGGAAGTTGCTTGTTTTGTCAAGGGGGTTGATTACCTGAAATATGACAATTGTGCAAATACTGGCATAAGCCCAAAGGAAAGGTAATTTAACCGATTCATAGTTCTGCCAGAATGCTCTGGTATGTAGCATAGGTTGGAAAGTGGCGGCTTCTCTAGTTGTGCCAGTGAGTCACGATTTCTCTTTTTCTGTCTAAGCTGCTAGGATTCTTTTGTGGAGCAGGTATCCAAAGATGAGCAAAGCTTTACTAAGTTCAGGGAGGACCATATTTTTCTCGTTATGTGAATGGTAAAATAACTTTCTTCACAAACAAGGGACAAACATTTCCTCTGAACAACAAATGTAGAACTGCTGCTGGAAATATTCACAGAAATTTAACATATGTAGGGGAAATGAAGATCCAGCAACTTGGGCACCAAGCATCGGGAATAGTTGGAGAACAACTGGAGATATTAAAGATAACTGGGATAGGTAAAGAGGAATACTGCTCTGTGATTTACTAGATTGCAATGTTAAGGATGGTACTGTATGCACTGTTAAATTTCACTCTCACACATTTCCAGCCATCTATTTTGTAGTCTGTAGAATATGCCTGTGTTAGATACTCAAAACATGCTTACCATTTTGAGGAACTAACGGTAATCTTGTGGCCTAGAATGACATCCGTTGCAGATCAAAATGACAAATGGGCATCTTATGCTCAACCTGGCAGTTGGAATGGTAGGATACCAGAATTTCTTTCACAGCAAAAGTATTATTCTATACTTAATGAATATGGATACATTGGTGGAAGGTGGGGGAGGAGGAGGAGGATTGAAGTAGCAGAATTGGTTTTATGTGCAAACTACTTCATTTTGTAATATATGAAATTGTACTTTCTCACTTGCCCCAAAAACAATTGTTGTACACCAGATCCAGACATGCTTGAGGTAGGAAATGGTGGCATGACAACAGAAGAATATCGCAGTCATTTTAGCATATGGTCATTAGCTAAAGTATGATCCGGACTTAGTTATCCATGCACAAGTCATAAACTTTTCTTCCTATGTGATTTCTGATACTATGACAATTCCTTTTTCATCCTTTTCTGTATGCAGGCTCCTCTATTGATTGGCTGTGATATTCGGTCAATAGACAGTGTCACCTTTGAACTGCTAAGAAATAAGGAGGTTATTGCAGTCAATCAAGGTAAAGTCATATGAATTACTTGGAAATGCCCATGTAGCTGAACTAGCTTAATCTAAAACTCCAGACTGGGGAAGTAAAATCCTTTTCACACCCACCGGTGCAGTTCCCATGTATCAGAACTAGAACGTACAAATTGAGGTTGCAGTCTTGTATAACTGAATTATTTGAGTGGTACAGATTGAAGGTTCTGTAACAGAATTTTTTCCATTGGGCAGATAAACTTGGAGTTCAGGGGAAAAAGGTGAAAAAAGATGGGGATCTTGAGGTAAAAATGATCAATGATACAATCATGCTTACTCCTTTTAACCTATCTTCACATTTACAATCTAAATACCTATGATAAATGTAGGTATGGGCTGGCCCCTTGACTGATAACAGGGTGGCTGTAGTCTTATGGAACAGAGGATCTTCCTCTGCAAACATCACTGCTTACTGGTCTGATATAGGCCTTAAACCATCAACTGTTTGTGATGTTCAAGATTTATGGGCGGTAGGAGCCTCCTTTTAATCACATGATTGTCAATGTTCCATCCAATGTGATCTATATAAAGATTTCAATAAGTTTTATGCTTGAAAATGCAACAGCATTCAACAGAGTTATCAGTCCAAGATCAGCTCTCTGCTCAAGTGGATTCACATGCTTGCAGAATGTACACAATCACACCACAGTGAAGAGTTCTTCCATGGAAGGAAAGTGGTTTTCCGGATGGAAAGGGTCTGGTTGCAGGCATGCAGCAGCTAGCTGAGAAAGCATTTGAACAAAGAAGTTAGCTTCAAGAAATAGAATAAAATTTTGTAATGTTTGAAAATATTAAAGCAATGTTAGATAAAGAAGTGAAACCTCAATAAATTATATGCAAAGGGATAGTTTTCTGAGAATGCTGCCAGTTTATGTCTACTTGCTATAGAACATCCACAAGATACTCTCCATTCTCTTATTATTTTCAATTTATTTTTATTCTTTCCCTTGTATTAAAAACAAAGTTAAATATATATATAAAAATTTTATGAACAGGAAAATTATTTTATTATTGAAAAAAACATATAAAAAACTACTTTCTCTATTCCAAATTAAATGTCAATTTTAAAATTTTTGCATCAAATTTAATCCATTTTCATGTTTCTATAATATTGTGTAAAATTATAATTTTAAGATATAGAATTTTAATAATAAATAGAATTATGATATAATTTTAAAAATTAAATTTTTTAATATATCATAATATGTTGACATATCTTAATAAACAGTAACATAATTTCGATATAATATGAATTTTACATTTTACATAACATGATGTTACGATCATTACATGCTATAATTATTTTGTAATTTCACTTTTTACATCAGCATTTATGTAAATATAATAAGAGCCTTTGATCTATATTAATAAAACAATAAAAATGTATTTGAATTTTGTTAAATAATTCAAGGATTTTAAACTACTATATCAAGAACCAACAAAGGGGGCAAGTGGCCATTTTCCTTTTTATTTTTCTTTTAACGAAATCTCTGAGTTTCCTCGTCACATGGTTCAAGCGGGAGTCCAAGAAAGTTAAAACAAACATCGAAAAGTTGTGAAAGAAGAAGAGAAATGCAGGGAACAGATTCAAAGTCTCCGTTGTAAGCTTCTTCTACATGTATATCACGTTCTTCTTTTGTCTTCTTTCTTTTAGCATTATATCATACTCACCATGCAAAACTTGAAAGCAATGGCATGATGAAGAAAGGAAAGCAAAATGTGGGGGGTGCTTCAAGCCAAGACTGAAACTATCCCGATTCCCAAGAAACTGAAAGAACCCAAGTTTTCTTTTCTGTTCTTTTAGAAGGAAAATCCATGTCCATGGAACCATCTCCTGCTTGCATGGCAAGAACTGGATGGAACTATATTCGATGTATTTGAACTTGGATTGATTTGTTTTTTGAGAAGGAAATATTAAATACAACTATTTGGTTGGTTTCTAATCCTTTTTACATCCATTTTCAAGATAACCAAAAAGGAAAGTTGAACAATTTTTCTTGTTTTCTGCAGGAATTACTACGAGGAGAATGATGGTGGAGAACAAAAAGAAACAGGAAAGAAACTCAAGGAAAAAGAAGTCGGTAACGAGATTGATGAGATAAGTGGTAGGTTTCAGCGCATGAAGCGTGAAACAAGTAAAAGAGGTAAAAGAGGATCAATTTTCTCTCAGTTTCTCTTGGGTTTTTCCTTGGAAGATATAACTTTCAAGTGAAAGGGTCTGCAGTACTCAAGATTTTCCTTCAGTTTCTGTCTTTTCCTTGTCAATATGAGATATCTTAATTCTGTGGAATATAAACCGAGGATACTATTTGTATAGTTGAAGTAAAAGCTATGTTTCACACTTTGTATTTTCAGTCTGCAAATTCTTAAGAAATTGGATAATTGAGGCAACCATCTGCTGGAAAGTGTCTTTATTATTGTTTTGAGGTTAGGAAAATGAGAAGATAAAAAAGAATTTACTTGCCATGAAACTGTCTCCATTTTGTAGAAGACACAGATAGCTATCTATGTTTCACAAGTGATGTTGATATTGCTAGTTGGAAATTGATTTCGATACCCTATTATTTCTAATCTGTAAGACCAGATTGTTCTGTTGATGCATTCTTTTATTATTTGGAGTCATATGCAGAGGGAACTCCCCTGCAAAGAAACTGAGCAGGTTCATAACGGTCGAAGTTATTGTATTAGTAATTTATACCAAAGATTAGCCAATGTGCTTTACATGGATTAGGGTGATGCATTTAGACAATTTTGGTCAGCTTTGTATGCAAGATCTGATAGTTGATGTGGCTATTTCATGAAGAGCTCTCCTGGGCAAAGCATGGTCTTTGGAGGCAAGAGCAGAAGAGCAGAGCAGCTAAGCTAGAGAAACAGCTCAAAGCACGAAGGGAACTTGAGGTGCTAATTGAGGAACAACTGAACAGGTTTCATGCGCATTACAACCATGCCATGGCCCCAAGTCATCTCGAGGATGTGTCACAACTCCTCATGCCACAATGTGTAGCTCCCCAAGAGCTGGCCATCATTTCCTGGCTTGGTGATTGGAGACCATCTGCCATTCTGGAACTCCTGCAGGGCCTGGCTCCTTCATCTTTCTTACCAGACTCAATTGATATGGGACATGTCCTATCTCAGATTATCCATGAGATACGTATTGAGGAGGCAGTAATTGATGAGGAAATGGCTGAGATTCAAGCTACATGTGTTCTCCACCTTCCCTTTGCCCCAGTGAAAAGCAGTAAGTCAGGTGGTTCTGCCTTGCCTGATATTCGAGTTGAGTTCAAGAAGATTGCTCGGGTTGTCACTAAGGCTCAAAAGCTCAGGTTTATTCCCTTTCTATTTAATTATGAATCTAAAAAATATAACCTATTAATCAGTCCTAAAAATTTCAAATTTTGATAGTTAAATGTGCCATGAATAGAGAAATAACTACAAGGGTATGCCGTCTAGTTTTGTTTCTGGGGGTTCCTTTGCTTGTTTGTTCTTGACCTTGTAGGCTTTTCTGGTTCAGATGCTCCTATTATCTCACAAGCTATGCATCCAGGCAGCTTAAATGAAAGTGTGTGTGTTATAATTCTAGAAATGTATGTGTAATTGACTGCTATTTGAAAACTTGCACAACAGGTTCAAAGCATTGGAGCTGGTGGTGAAGAAGGTGCTGAACCAAACCGATGCAGCAAAGTTCCTGGTGACCTTATCAGGAATTCAAGATGCTATCCACCAGTTTGCAGAGCACCAGAGGTTGCGAAAGGGGCCAGTTTCTCTGTTTGTCAAACCTCAGGGTGTAGTTGAGACTTCAAAGCAGATAAAGATTCGCTTAGAAGACAGAATCAGTTTTTGGGAGAAGACTATCCTGAGCTTAGAACAAGAGAGGAGTGGCCAAGGAATTCAAGATGCTATCTACCAGTTCGAAAAGCAACAGGGGTTGCGAATGGGGCCAATTACTCTGTCTATCAAGTCTCGGGATGTAGGTGAGACTTCAAAGCAACCAAATATCCATTAGAAGACAGAAACAGCTTCTGGGGGAAGACTACCTGAGCTTAGAACAAGAGAGAACTGGCCGTGAGCAATGAATGCCTTTGGACACTGACTATGTTTAACATCACACTCTTTGTTGTATCTATAGCAATATGGCATTATAGGTTCCGCTAGCTAGAATTGTATAAAACCTCTTCTTTTTTCTTTTTTTTTGTCTTGGTTGGACAACTTTGTTTTTCCTTAGAACATGTGAGGAACTTAATTACACATTTACAGAGACCAGGTTTCTTGTCATCCAGAAGAACTTAATTATGCATATAGTCTGAGCGTTAAATCAACTTCCAGCACAAACGTGGTGTTGGGGAATTTGTCATCAGGTGATGATGACTGAACCAAATGTAAATTACCTCGGATGAAATCAAACTATTTTCATGTTCCCTATCCTCTTCAGAAATTATTCAAATGGGAAAAGTTTTGGTCAAATTTGGCTGAATAAGATAGTTGGACGGTTTAGCAGAACAGAAACTCATAGAATTCCTAAATAAGCCTCTCGGATCCTCTTGATGATCTTGTTATACGAAATAAAGGGAAAGTTCACAGGTAAATTATGCCCAAATTTTGTCTCTAAAGTAATTGTGAACAGTATGTTCAATCTTTCTTTGGTTGATCATAATCTATTGGCTCTAGTTTAAGGTTCAGCTTCCACATTTGATCATACCATGCTCTAGATAAACATTGCAAAATGCCCAACAAGAGCTTCATATTTTTTCATGCATTGACGTCTTCTGCCACTACAATTTATCTGACACGGCAGTTGTCATAATTTTCCATGTATTGATGTCTTCTGCCACTACAGCTTATCTGACAAGGCAGCCGTCATGTGTCTATGCATAAAATTCACAAGAATAAGGAATCAAATCTCGGGACTTTTTCACAAAGAATCATCATCCAGAGCAACCTGATCACTCCTAACATTTCTACAAAAAAGATGGTAAACGAATTTGGTCCTTTATTTACACATTTATCTTCTATAACTTGTGGGAACAATAAGCTGTCAGAATCAGCAATCCAGTTCAAAAGGATAAACCATGGCCCCCAAACATCCCTCAACTTTTGACCTTTAAAGATTGACAAGCTCTCCCTTTTTGTCAATGTGAAACTTCACAAAATGATTTTGTTTTAACAAACCAAAAGAGCCACCAGAAAATCACGGGAACCACTAAGAGAAACATGAAAAAGTCCTAAAGAAAATCTTAATAGATACACTGTGCTTCTATATATATATATATATATGGGAAGAATGGAAAGGTTTGCTAAAGCAACCAATCTCAACATATCAGGGGACATAATGATAGATAAGATCCATCTTAATCCAAAAACCTGCAATAGGTTTTTACAATGTTTTAAGTCCAGAATTTTGAAACTAGGCCAAATGACCAATAACCTTTGCAGAGCATTGGCATACCTGTTTTCTCAACTTAGTGGTGCCCTACTTCAGCAAGAGGGAATAAAAATCTAACGTTTTGGTGCATGAAGTTCCTGGAAGTGGGATCAGCTAAATCAAGTTGTAGTGATCTAGATTTAGATATCTAGAAAGAGGCCCACCCATTACTTTGGAGTTTTTCAACTTTTTCAGCTTGAGCATGAATCTCATGATTCTGATTTTTCTCAACTGGAATGAGGATGCCTCCTTACTAGAAAGTGACAACCAATCTGTTTCAACCCTTTTCTTTCCTTCCTCACCCCCTTTTTTTTTTCTCTTTTAATCAATATTTTTGGTACAAGCAGCATCTTCCATTTTAGCAAATATTTCATACAAGTAGACACCTAACACACTAATCTTATATGCTCTTCTTATTCATCTTCTACAAGATAAGGAAAGGAAAGAAAAGAAAAGAATCTGTAACAACCAAACTAGAGAGATCCTGATCACATCTCTTCCAACCTTTTTTCCCTGCAAATAAATAGTGTTGTTACCATCCTAGATCCTTGGTGTGGCTGGCTGGCCCTGGCCATCGGCCATAGCCCATATACGTCACGAGGACCTTTTGCCTCTTGTGCAAATTCGCCTGAATACAGGCACCCACCCTTTGGGCAAACATCCCAACCCCGTATGTGTTTTTTGACAAAAGTTTCCCAATGCACTGTGTGGCTTGCCCTTGCGCTGTAAGTTGCATGTAAACAAGATCTGCCCAATGTCGTACCACTTAGATTTGTTGTCCCCATTGTCTTGTGATATCAACAGCAAAGCTTGAAAAGATACAACAATAGAAAAAACCTTGCACGAGGATATGTTCTGATAGACTTTGATGCTATCAACATGTGCCATAAACAATAGCCTTTCATATTACCAGTGGGTTTGGCAAATTAAATGTCAATGAATCAATCAGAACTTGTTTGACAAGAGTAAGAAGCATCCATTTTAAGTATTTGATAATGGTACGTAATTAGTAAGGTGCGAGAAAAATTAGGGTGCCTCAGTCCCACACTTGGTAGGTGGGAGGGTCTTGAGACAATTATAATTGAGGGTGTTGCATATTTTATCAAAGTAGTTTTTTTAAAGGGTGTGATTATCCTGTAATAAGTGATATTTGAGCAAATATAACCTTAACCCAACCCACACTAAGCACTTCTAAAACGAACCAAAGAGGATGGCTAATGAAATGTTATCAGATTAAGTAGAGAACAGTATCACGTTTAATTCTTCAAAAAAAGTAAATTAAGGTGTTTCAATCAAACATCGAACAGATAAAGAATCTTGAGATAGTTATAAGCGTGAGTTTTTTTCACCTATCATATTAATCTTTTAGAGAGAAGGGTCACTTTTGACTATATCATAACTTGGAGAAGGGTCATTTGTGACTATATCATAACTTAACTTGATCTTGATATTACTGTTCAAAATATTTGCTAAAAAGTCATTTAATTAATAGAAATTATAAATGAACTTTGGTTATCTTAAGTAGGCATAACAAGATATCCTTACTCATTTTAGAGCGTAATTTAGAGGTATTTAAATAAGCTTACAATAGGTACACGTATTATTTCGAATAATTTACTCTTACACCTTGCTTGATTTCATACATTTTTCTTGTAGTATTAATATTTTGGAGTTCCAATTTATTATCATCAAAGATTACACATTATTGATATATTTAATGAAATGATAAAAATTAATAAACGAGGATTTAAAAATGTCATTTGGATAATTTATAGAGGTAAATTAATTTAATTATTCTATAAATATCTAAATATTTGACTTATTGATCAATATATGATTTTTTTTAAGAAAAAAAAAGATCGAATTGCTTTTTTCTAAAAAATGAAAAGGAAAAAAACCTAACAATTCTACAAAGAAATGAATTGATAGAAATTGAAACTACAAAATGGTACTTAGCTCAATTGGAATAAGCAAGAGAATGAATTGGATGGACTGGAAATTAATTTTGAAAAAAAGAACCTAAAACTTGAACTGTTGAAATTGCTCTCTTTTCACCCTATCCTATCAAGCTACCTAGACTAGACTTTGTGCAAGTTGCAACCCTAAGATTAGAGTGTTTAGATTCCATCCAATCATTGTGGATCCCCTCCTCCATCAGTTGTCTTTTAAAAAGAAGATTAGATCAGAAGGTGGGAAAAGTGAGCAACCCCCCAAGAGGAGATGTGTGATTACAACACGTTCATTGACCCTAGAGGTGACACCCTAATGAATGTGGGGCCATCAACCTAGCATGATCTTTCTCAAAAATATAACCAACGGTGGAGATTCAATCTTCAAAAATGAATCAGTAAGTCCGCACCCTCCTCATGAAAATTTTGATGGTTTTTTTTTCTTTTTTTTTAAATTTTGGTGTGCGTGAATAAAACCTGGAGATGTTGAGGTGTGGGGGCCTAGGGGCAACACCCAAAAAACAAAAGATTGTAATCAGATGATGATGATCATGCTTGCTAGTACACACGCGTGCACATGAACAGTGCCTCCTTTTTCTTAGTCACTTTTATGGGTCCTCCGTCCTCCCAATTATTTGGCTTTTAAGATTATGCTGTGTTTCTGGTTTGCCCAACTAGAGAAAAGTTCTTCCATTACACCATTATTTATACATTTCTTTAGTTTACCTAACAATACATGAATCCATTTTTTTTAAATATATTTTATCTTTTTCGAATTTTTTTTACCATTTTTATCTCAAATATAAAAATTTAATCATATCCGTTCAAATTCTAAACCTTTAAAATAAAATTTTAAATTTGATCCGTTGAAGTGTTGTCTTTAAAATTATATTGACAAAGAAGAAAATAAAAATTTAATATCATGGTTGAAATTTTTGAGTATATACTTTTTTATATGTTTGTGTGCATTTTAATTTCATAATATCATACATTAGATGTGGTGAAGATATAATAAATTTAAGTATATGGTATAACAAGTCACAATGTGAACGACATAATAATAAAATGATTTTTTATTATACAACAAAAATGAAATAAAAATTGAAAAAAAAATCTAAATTCAATTGTACAATGCCTTCTTTTCACCAATAGAAGATATGAATTCACCTTAATTTAAGAAGATCTCACGTTAGCGAAGAATTGTGGTATTAGCTTAAATTATTAATCCATGCTTTCAACCCATTGCTCATCTTGAGGCTCTAGTAGAGTAGAAAGTAGATTGAGTTTAATTCAAGTATTTGGGTTTATAAATTTGACTCAATAATCGATATACGTACCCTTTACTCAAAATCGAATTTAAACACTTCTTTTTCAAATTTAAATAAAATAAAAACTCGAGTCAAGCTCCAATTCTAATTTTTCTCCAAATGAACTCAAGCAAAATCAGGTTGAACTTGCCAGCCTAGACAAGTTTCAAGAACAAGTCCACTCTCCAGAATGAAAAATGGAAAGGACTTTTCTTCTCCCCTTCCATGAGATTGTAGGGATCAAATTGGTGAAAAGATGTAAATGTTTGACTTTAATGGCCAAATTAACATTACCAAATGGGAATTAAAGCAAACTTTCTCAAAAAAGAAAAGAAAAAAATTGAATGGCTTTACTCAATTCTTAGAAAGAAAAAGAAAAAGAAAATCACAATCAAGCATGCAATTATTCGTTGAGTTGTCATTGGAGAGATCTTGGAGAAAGGCAGCACATCAAATTATATTTGATTGATGGCAATCAACTTTTTTGCCAATTTGTGAAGGAAATAATGTGCAAAAAGCTACTCTAAATTTGGGTTCCTATTTAACATACCAACTTAAATATATACTGACAAT